GCCACTTCTACCATCCATCTGTTTTTGCTGTGCCCTTCAGTGTGGTGTGTGGCTCTGTAACAGAGATAGCACAGGGCTAATCGGAATATAGTCGTCTTATAAACTCTCAAAAAACTCCTTATGTCTATGGACACATGTCTATGCACACATTGTTTGATTTCCAAAACTTTTAACTTAGCCATGAAAGATTTTCACAGAAATGTCAACATGTAAAAAGGCCAGCCCTTCACCTATTTGCATTTCCCTGTTCAAAACTCCATATATTTAACAGAAAAGAAACGCTGAATTTTCTCCACTACAAAACTATCTATGAGAATGAACAGAAATGACACATACAAATAACTTGACCAGGTGGCAAACATACAATTTTTGAAGCTCTTCTGCAGTTCTTTTCATAATTTAAATCTAGCAGTGTTTTAAACAACAGAAACCAGAATCTTATACTAGTAAGTGTGAGACAATCTCAGCTATAAGTGTTGCTACCTGAACTATAATTAAGACACCAATTTCCTCTGATGTTAGAAAGCTGTTCTTTTCTCTAGCATTTGTACTAGCTTCCAAATCACTTTGGAGTACAAATTAGAGGCTTGTTTCCCCAGTACCTTACACTTTGCACAGTCACTTAAACATGCATAAAGAGACGACTAATGGGTATAATTTCCCATTCACTTCGCACAGGTATAAATGTTTCCACTACCAGGAAGCAATGAAGGATCACACCCACTGTGCTGATTAAATCAGTTAAGTGCGGTGTACATTCCCCCTGGCTAGGCTTCCTGGCACGACTAATTCCTTCTATTGAACCTTCGGGACTTAGGCCAGGATGCATGCACAGATGGTTCCTCAGATCAGGAATTCACTTCACCTACTGTCTAACAGAGCCTGAATCCTAGTATTCAAATTGCTATATCACACAAGTGTACGGTAGGAGGAGCTTCCCAGTTTCCAAAGTTCCCACAGTCTGTTTTGAGTCTGTGTAAATTACGATGGCACAAGACTGTTAGAAATAAAACCTTTTGTAAGAGCTTACGAAGGTCATGATCACTGGGTACTGATGCTATGCATCTCCTTTTCAAAATATCTCATACTCTAGAAGTGAATTAAGACCCATGCACCAAGAGGAATCTTCAGCTTCCCAGAGTAGCAGTATGAAGATGCTGTGGCTCAAGTCAGAACCCTGCCCTCATCTCGTGACCTTCCAAACATAATTGCTAGGAATATGCATTTAGTAGAAAACATGATATGGCTATTATATGTGAGGATAAACGTGACCTGTATAGCATTTTCCCGATGGACTGCATGCTGGTTTAAATATATGCTACTGAAGAAACTGATAACTGGTTATTGTATCTTCAGATGAAGAAAACTACGCCTATCTATGTATACAAATATAGATGAATACAGGAGAAATACATGTATTCATACAGAGAGAGAGATGAGGTGTAAATTTATGAAGGATGACTTATGCTCTTCAATGTAATAACATTACTTTTTCCAGGGAAATTTTGTATTTCTGTAAAAATTGAAAATTATCTAGGTATTATTTTCTAGACACATGTAATAGTTATATATACCTTAGAATAAGCAGCAAGACTGTAAGGTGAAAGGCTAAGTAATCTTCTAATTAGGGTGCCAAACGTCAAGTACATAAGTACATTGTCTTACAGAGGTACTGCCAGGCTGTATTATCATTCATTGCTAGAAAAATCCAAAAGTACCTTAGCCCTCCAAACAGCAATCTGGCAGTCTGAGAAGCTTTCTTGCTGCAGTAGACAATATTGGATAAACAAGAGCGAGA